TTTAATACTGTTTATCATAAACAGAGCATTTGCTTAAATACTTGTATCTATAAATAACAACGTTAAACATAAAAATGTCTTTAATATATATATATATATATATATATACTTTACAAATGGAATTATGATACTTTTAGTAAATGACTGTTTTCACCTACGAATTTTAATTTCAAAATTCACAGGATTTTTCAAACTGTTTCTGGTATTGGCTTATAGTGTACTCTTATATGCCAGAATGTGAGAATGGTTCCCCAACGGTGTGGCAAAGAAGATAGCAGATGAGGCGGAATGAGTGAAAGACAATCAAAAATTTAGTAACATTTTAAAAATTCATATGTCAAAGATAAATATGATTTCAAAATTTAAAATTTTATTTCATTTAATTTTAATTGTATGCATGAGTCCCAGTATAAATAGTTGTAAATAATTATTGACCGAATTTATCATTGTGATATTTTTGCATTACATAAAGTATTAAGAATATAATAACGAGGCATATATATAGGCACAAATATAACAAACTGGAGGAGAAAGTAATCAAAGATAATGTTCTGACTTAGATTCCGAGGTTATCTCCCTTCAAGCTATCACTGTTTTTCTATTTTTTAATGTACATTTTATCAATTAAAATTTGATGAGACACGAGCAAATTTTCATTTTGCAAATGCGGCCCAGGAAAAAAAAAGTTTGGGAACCACTTGGATAGGATAAAGAAAAAAAAAAAGGAAATGTTTATAAATCTAACATGTTTCACTTTTATTAAAGCTTCATCAGAAAATGAGATATACTGATATCCTGCTCATTCTCTGATTAAGTTTTAATAAAAGTGAAACATGTTAGATTTATAAACATTTCCTATTTGTTCTTTATCCTATCATTCTATCAGATTCCAGTCTATTTTTGATGAGTATTTCATCGCATTTCATATATAAACAGATTTCATTTATTCTTCTTTTTCTATGAATAAAAAGCTTACAAAACAAAAGAAGTAATCCTAAAACTTATCTTTAAAATATTTAAATATTAGATACCTACAATCTTTTTTATTTGTGTTGCATTATTTTCCACCTGCATCAGATTGTGAACTCATGTGACTTTGCCAGGCTCCTGGGTTATGGGTGTTTTTATTAGGGCACCATCTCTATACAGAGTGCTATCCAAGTGTTTATGGAAGTCCTTTAGTCTAGGACTTGTAACTACATACTAGCATAAACATCAACAGCTTCCAAACTGTTTTGTCAACCCAATTTCACTCACAAGGCCTGGGGCAACCTGTGGAATGGTTTTCAGGCAATTTTTGATGGGGCTACATACTAAGAGAATATTATCAAGAAGTTAACTCTTTCAATCGACTATGGTTTTTGGTTAATTTTGTTTAGCAGCATATCAACCTCTATGAGTTATGTAATGCTGAAATCTAAATATTTACAATACAATTGTATGCATTCAACTACAGACAAAATGTATTGTTGGTCATTTTGTTATAAAATTGTGTTGTTGGTAATTTTACTATAAATAAGAATTGTTGGTAATTTTTTTATATAAAAATATATTACTAGTATTTTTACTATAAAAATGTATTATTTTTATACTTTCATAGTGTTTTGTTTGTGTTTGGGGATTCACTATCTGTCTATAGTTTCTTTTTTTCTTAAGCATTTCACTCCAATCAAGGCAGGAGTACCACTAGTATGCAAGGGGGCTACAGAGGGTGTAAGTAAGGGAAAAGACTGAGTATGGGGGTGGGGGTTCAGGAACGGATAAAAAGAAGAACGGAGGAGGATAAAAGAAGAACAGGGATCAACGCAACAGATTTGACATTACATTTAAATTTTTGAAGATTATAGTTATCAGGGAAGCTAGTAAGAGGAAGAGAGTTCCACTGATGGGAAGTGTGAGAGAAGAAGCTGTTAGAGTAGAAGAAAGAGTTACATTTAACTGTTATGACAGTAAAAGGGTGGGACTGAGATGCCAGCCTAGTAGCACGCTTAAATTCATGCAGTTGGGGTACCAGTGAAAACAGCTCGTCAGAGGAGATGCCATGAAAATATTTATAGAAAAGACAGAATGAAGCCATATTACATTGGCGAGAAAGTGACTGGAATCAAGACCCCAAGTCAGGACCGATCACATTGCATATCTGTCTTTGGATTTTGTTGAGAAACTTGAGATGAACAGCAGGGGCACCAGACTATGTATGGCAGCAGTATTCTATGTAGGTGCTACCACCCCAGGTCAAAGATAGATATTTTGCTTGATTAGGAGGTCCAACGTGGCTGAGTGGTCTAAGACACATCAGATCTAATGATGTTTACCACAAGGGGACCCAGGTTTGAATTCTGCTGGAGAGCAGATATTTTTCTAACAAGATTTCTTGAATATTCAGGCTATTAGTTGTAAATAAATATACTGTTTAATAAATAAATAAAAAACAGATCATCTACTTATATTTATGAGTATGCATTTAAAATAACGTTTAAACAAATAAATGAAAAAAGATGGATAGATCAAAAGTTCTCTTACCCCTCTAAACTTTCTGTATGAACAAGTTAAGTCTACTCTGCACATATCAACATGGGCTATTTAATGTCAAAATTTAAATATTTTGAATGTAATTGCAAGTTTTCAACTACAGATAAAATGCATTGTTGGTAGTTTCATTACAAATATGAATTGTTGGTACTTTTATTATAAATAGGTATTATTGGTATTTTTTTTTATATATATAAATGTATTTTTATGCCTTTATAGTGTTTTGTTTGGTGGGGGGTTCACAATTTGCCCATAGCTGTGACCCTAACAGGTGCTACAGAAATTAAGAGTTGTGACCATGGTCCAGGTCTAATGATCAGAATACTAACACTGTAATCATTCAAACACATACCCACATTTTGATATACTGATGTTTAATCATGAACACTGTAGATGGATAAATATGGAAAAATCAATAACTTTACCTCATGATTACTTCATGATTTGTTAACATGTTTTTCAGATGATTTTTTTTGTTGGAAGGGGAGGTAATTCAAGAAAACGTTTAATGATTGTACATGAGTTTTTTTCTTCTATGTGCCTGTTGGTGATCATGGCTCACCACAATTTCCTGTCCTTTGTAGCTTTTAATAAATTTTGTCTTTTTGCTATTTCTCCTAAACCCTGATCCACCATGCATTCACTCAAGCTTGCTAGGCATGTTATGCATTGCTTTCCTCTTCCTCTCTTACATTAAATCTGTCCTGTGAGTACCAAATTTTCCAAGCCCCCTTCCTTATTATATGCCCAAGAAATTTCAAGCATCTCTTCTTAATGTTAAGTATTAAGTGTTTTGTTTTCATTGTCTCTAGAACTTTGTCATTGCTCACATGTTTGGACCATTTTATTCTCAGCCTTCTTCTGTAGAACTACATTTCTGTTGCCTCAAGTCTCTTCTTCATCTGTGAGGAGATTGTGCAGTATTCACAACCATATTGGAGGATTGACATTACATAACAGTTCATTACTCTTTTCTTTGTTTATAATGACATTTTCCTGTTTCTTAATAGTTTGCTTAGCTTTTAGAAGGCATCTTTCACTATCTCAATCTTCAGATTTCAGTAACACACTATTATCCACTGTTAAAAAACTATCTAGATATTTAAATTTTCAGACTGACTTGATATTGGTGTCCCTACTTCATAGGTCTTGTTGTGGAGTAGCTTAACACCCTCACAAGATGGACTGGTCCATGACTATTTAAACACCACTCTCTCTTACTGAGGGAGAGGAGTTAATGATTAACTGTTTATTATATTAGTCTGTGTTCTCAACCATGTACCATATTATTCTCTGGAATAAACTACTTCTTATTTTCTATATGTGGGTCAACCTTTCCTATTTACAACACAAGAGTTCTCATCTTGGGCTGTTTGTTTTGCTGACAAGTATGTGTTCTATCTTCTTATAATTAATATTTTATCTTTTCTTTTCTCTTTTTTTTACTGCCTTTTTTAAGGGTTCATGTAGTTACCTTTCTGTATCTGCTATTGACACTGTGTCATTTGTATATATGTTATTAAGGTTGTGGTCCTTAATACTGAATCCTGGTAGGACTTGTAGTTCTCTTGGGATCACCCCAATGTAAGGTTGGAATAAACTCAGTGAGAAGATACATCCTTGTCTTATGCTCTTTTCTATTTTTAAACATTTACTGAATTCATTTTCTGTCATATGCTAATGATCATATAGTCTGTCTTCTTAAAATGTTTGTCTTTTTATTATCCATCCCACCACCTGTTCTGTAATCCATTTCCAAAAGCTTGTTAAGTAGGATACTTACTGTTTTCTTCTGTCTTTATTGCAATCAATATGTCCTGTGAGTGCAAATTCTCCAAGCCCTCTTTCTTCATTATGCGTCCCAAAACTTTCAACTCTTGTTTCTATTTTCCTTAAAACTTAATGAGGCTATTTAAGAACATGATGAGTTTTCAGGTTGATGTTTTGGTTTTGAAGCAATTTGTGGTGTTGGGCAATGCTACCTCTGGCACAGCCTATTTTATAACACAGTTTATGGAAGCATATCCAAAAATCAAAATGTTTGGTGCTTTGCAGTTGACCTTTCCTTTGAATATATAAATTCATTGTTGCCATTTCACCTCAAATTTTGTGTATGTATGCATATTGTTCAATTGCACTAACAAATGTGCATCTATAACACACCTGCAAAGTAAAGGTGAGATGTAAGTAGGAAATAACTTACGGCAGAGAATTTGAAGTGTCCTTGTCCTTCAACTTGACAGCATCCTGTTCCCCAGTTGGGTTGATCTGCAATGGGGTAGGTTTACGTTGTTTGTATCGGTTCTCTTGCTCCATTTTCTTACCTGTTGATAAAAGAGAAAACCAATCATGAAGTAGAAAAACTGTTGAAAGTAGAAAAATCGTCATTAGCTGAAGGGAATTAAATCCCTGTGGAAATTCATGGTTACAGCCAAAGGTTTATAACTCATTACTGGTGTATGAGGTCACTACATGTATTGCAGTGTGTCTGGAGTAAGGTATCCTGACAGAGAGGTAAGAAGAGCATGAGGTAGATAGATAGATAGATAGATAGATACAGAGAAAGGTAAGATAAAAATGAGAAAGATATAAAGGAAATGAGATATATAGATAGATATGAACGAATTGAGATACATAGAGATATGAACAGATTGAGATAGATAGATAGATAGATAGATATAAACAGATTGAGATAGATATAGAGAGATAGATATGAACAGATTGAGATAGATATATAGACAGATATGGACGGATGGAGATAGATGGATATGAATGGATTGAGATAGATATATAGATAGATATGAACAGATTGACATAGATAGATAGATATTAACAAATTTAGATAGATAGATAGATATTAACAAATTTAGATAGATAGATAGATAGATAGATAGATAGATAGATAGATAGGAACAGATTCCGATAGATATATAGAGATAGATATAAACAGATTCAGATAGATAGATATGAATGGATTGAGATAGATAGATAGATAGATAGATAGAATGAATAGATAGAATGAATAGATTGAGATAGATAGATACTGAGAAAGATAGGAAGAAAACGAGAAAGATGCAAAGAAAATTAGATAAATAGATGCAGATAGGTTCCCTGTACCACTCCAGTAGGTACCTGACTCCTCCTGCTTGCCTCTACCTTTACAAGAGCCAGATCAGGCCAAGAATGGAGTACTGTTGTCATATTTGAGCACTTCCCAGCCATTATTAAGAGTCCAAAAGCATCCCAGAATCCTTGTGGGTGAGATTATTTTCTATCCTCCAACTAACAGGTGGGATGTTGCAAGTCTGTCATTATTCTATTGCTACTTTCACTGAAAGTGTTTGGAAAAACTACATTCCTTGATTCCACCAGGCCTAACCTTCACGGCAAAGACCTGCTATGCTACTTATATTGTAGCAAATCACCCACATTCCCTTCATATTCTATTGCTGAGTAGTAAGTTTCACTCAAACAGCTTCTTCCTGTGAACCACTGCTCTGTAGAACTGACTCCCAAGAGGATGTTTCCCTGATCACTACAATCTTAACTTCTTCAAGACTAGGGTTAGCCATTATCTTCCCCTCCTATTCCTACAAACTGTCTCCTAACATAACCCTCTACTTTGAGTGGTCTCCAGGCTTTGTACAAGGTGAACCTTACTATAAAAAACAAAAAGAAAAAATATAGATATGAACAGATTGAGAGATAGATACTGAGAAAAAAAGAGAAAAAAGATGCACCAAAATATTATATATATATATATATATAAAATATATATAGATAGATAGATAGATAGATATGATATCCAAGTATTGGATTGATGTATACTGAATAAATTCTAATAATCAAAAAAGAAAAAAAGGAAGAGAATGAGTTAATTCAAAAATTATAATGCCAAAAAAATCACAACAAAATATCCATTTTGTATATATATATATATAAATAGAGTTTTGAAAAAAATATTTTGATAGATAGATAGATTCGAATAAATAATGAATGATAGATAGATAGATAGATAGATAGATATGAATGTAGAAAGGTAGGAAGAAAATGAGATTGATGAAATTTTTTTTTTAAATTAGTTTCACCCTATCAAAGCAGAAAAGCCACTAAGACAGAAAGGGGTTACTGGATGTGGAAGAATTAGGAACAGAAACATTAATAATGAGTGGGAAGAGAAAAGAGTAATCAGGCGGACACTAGATAGCGGTTGACATTGTGTTTAAATTTTTGCAGATTAAAGCTGGCTGGAAAGCACTTATTGCTTGTGGAACAAAGTTCCACAAGCAATAAGTGTAAGAAAAGAAACTGTTAGCATTGAACTTACATCTAAAGCTAACCAGCTCAACTGTAAATTGATAAGATCTCAACGCCAGTCTTGTACTGCGCTTAAATTCAAAAAAGGCTAGGTACCATAGCAAAGAGCTCATCTGAACAATTACCATGAAAGTATTTATAGAAAAGGCACAGAGAGGCAACCGTATGGTGGTGAGAAAGTGACTAAATCTGAGCTGCCAGAACAGGACCAATAATATTGCTGATGCTTCTTTGTATTTTATCAATGAGCTCAAGGTAAATAGATGAGGTACCAGACCATATGTAGTAGTAATATTCTAACCATGGATGAATGGTAGACTTATAAATATGTATTATAGATTCTGAAGAGAAAAATTGTCCTGTACGACAAGTGAACCAATTTTCTTGGCAGCTGATCTAGCAATAGAGTCAATATAGACTTTCCACTTATGTTAGCTGAGAATGTTATCCCAAGAAGGTGAAACAAGTCATTTTCTTAGAGGTTACCATCAGCTAGATGATAAATCAGATGATTAATGCTGAAACTTGAAATTCAGATAGATATATAGAAAAATACATACAGACAGATTGCTAGAATAGAACAGACGTCTATCTGAAAATCAAAGAGAGAAAGAAAGAAACCTGTGACACAGAGAACTGACTGAGCTAGGAACGGATAAAAAATTGCTACCACTGAACTTCTAGAGCAGCATTTCTCAACCGGGGTTCCCTGGAACCCTAAGGTTTCGCAAAAGGCCACAAGGGTTCCACGAGAACAGGTGAGATAAGCTAAAACAGGTATCAAGAACAAAGACAGAAATCATCTCCACTCAAGTGAAAATGAAATCCATGTATGTTTATCTAAAGTTCAACCTCAAATTAAGTATTTGTGTAGCAAAAGACAGGCACTGGTTTCACATTAAAGAAGCATGTTTCACTTTATCAAATGGCTCTGAAAGTAATATTTTCTTAGCTCATTTATTGGTTCACAGGACATTTTGCCTTAATTTACCTTATGTCTTTTCAACATTGCCAGTAAAGGATACAAAAAATAAAAAACTTATGCAGCAATTATCTGTTTTTGTTCTATTTACATCTATATTATAGGTATATGATATTGGTTACTTATGTTTATTTTTTTATGTTTGAATTTAGAATTTTTTTGTGTGAATGAACACTCCCTGAAGTATTATAAATGAACAGTATGAATTTTATTAAGCATTACCAAAAAATTTGACAAAGAAATATTAATTTTTCCTTAAACCAGTTATTCAAAAATATATACACTGATATTTACCATGGGAACTACGATGAATATAAAATAAGAAAGATATGGTATATAATTTTGTTTTTGCGCAGGGATTTCTTGAGACATGTAATATATTTTAAGGGTTACGCAAGGGTAAAAAGTTTGAGAAACGCTGTTCTAGAGTATCATGTGACAGTTTGGTTTCCCCATCAACTTCAAGTGCTCTATCATCTTCTTTCACCAGCAGCCTGACTTGAAGTCAGATGTGGAATTCAATCCCCCTCCAGAAAACTTGGACGACAAACATACAAAACAGAAACAGCATCACAAAGAACCAATGAAGAAACAATGTATAAAGCAATATAAAAAGGAAAGAGCGCAAACCTTCTCTCTCTTCTCTCTCTCTTTAACCCACAAGATGTCATCGATGGGTCGTGTTTCCTCTCTACAGGACTTCTTAGTTTACAGTTAACTACATTCTTCACTGATTTTTTTCTACAGTTTATCAACCCTTTGGCAGGTTATTTAAAGCCAGAAAATATTTTTAGATTATAAGAATTTTTTTTTTGGTGATGGTGTGTGTGTGTGGGGGGGGGAGATAATAATGATTTACTGATACATGTCTTTCTAATTACCCCTTGGCTGGAGTCAGGAAGAATAGGTTGATTTATACCTTCTCAAAGAATTAATAATGACATAATCAAGATGTAAACATTCCACACTACTTTAAATAGAAGGTTTGGAAGGAAACCCCCATCAATACTGGAAAGAGTGATAAAATTTACATGACTTGAGAAAACTATTTTCCCAAAAATGTGTTTTAAGAGAAAGAGACTATTGTCCTCATCTTTGTTGCCATATTTATCACAACGTTTCGGCCGTTGTATGCTCCGGCATTCTTTAGGTGGTTGGAATTTTGCACCTATGACGTATAGGCAGTGGAGAACTTTCAGAGGGAAATTAGCAGGAGATAACTGATAACTGACATCCATCAAACATGGCATGTGGAACGAGAACAGTCTACCCCAGTGAGTGAAATAAAGGGTTCAGTTCAAAATTCCAACCACCTGAAGAAGGCTGGAGTGTACAACGGCCGAAACGTTGTGATAAATATGGTGACAAAGATGAGGACAATAGTCCGAATAATGTAAATAAAGTACATAATACCTCATCTCAGAAATGTAGACAGACAGAGAAAGACTTTATAAATTCCAACCAAAAACAGTACTGGCTGCTTGGTTAATGAATGCCAAATATTTTCTTAGAGAGAAACGGCTAATATTATGATTATCATTAGATTTTAGACAATAATTTTTTAAAATTTTCAATAAATTATACTTGTTTTCATTCCAGAGAATGAATAGGTAGATATAAATTCAGCACATGTAAGCATTGTTTAAATGTTTTTTTTTACTTTAGGATTTTCAGTTCTGTTCTTGTCTATTATTTCAAACTGTGACCTTAAAAATAAGCTTTTTAAATTAGTGAACCACTAAAAGAAATTCTTCATTTTGAGAATCCAGGTTCTTAATGCAACTGACAACCAATATCTCATTCTGTTGAACTTAAAAATGGAAGAAAAATTATCTCATATACTGGATCACTGTATTACCCAATACTACCTGCCAAATGTTCAGATCATTGGTGACCTAACCAATTCCCTCATCAGTCTTTTCTGGTGAGGAGATTGGTTAGATACCTAGTGGGATTAAAAACAAGAGTGATTAAAGTGTGAATAAACTTTCTTTTAGGATCATTGGTCATCTAGAGAAATGATTAATATTACCATTACCATCATTTATGGATAAAATTGATTTTTGTTTCTGAATGATGAAAAAAAAATTCATGGTTTCATTTTTTTAAACTTGGTTAGAAGTAAGAGAAAGCATGTTTTTCATTAAAAAAGAATGTAATTGTGGTACTTGGGAAGTGTAAATGGAACCCATATTTGTGTTTAGAAGCAGACTAGTCTAGCTAAGGGGAGGAGTTAAAAAAAAACAAGAGAACAAGATTAAGGGATTTTTTATTTTATGTTATTTTGTAGTCTCCTGCTACTGATTTGACAGTAGCTTTTGATACTCATTTCAGTAGAAACCATTCTGACTTTAACAAGTTTAAAACTTTAATATAACATCCATCTAGTTTGATACCCACTTATCCAAACATAGTTGTATGTTCACACCTAATCTCACTACAGGTATTTCCTTACTGCTATGGTACTACAGTAATCCTGTAGAGGAAGTGATGTCAAGTCATTTTCGAGCAGCTTTTGTGACCTGCTTCTTCCAATGGGTCCTTTAGTCCTTCCAGATGAGTCCTTCCAGATGAGTCCTTCCAGATGAGTGAGCTCATCTCTGTATCTTGGAATGCCTGCTCAAGTATGTTTCCAACTCAAGGAGAATTTCTGATACTTTGATTCCTTGGCAACAACCTTATTTAGTAAAACTCTACCTTGAGTTGCACTTGGGCCTTATATTGAGTGAAAAAGGGAAAAAGGGTAAAAAAAAAAATACTTAAGCACATTTTTTTGTATGTTATCTAAACACTTCTTTTAAAATTATGTTTTTATTCATTTTCTCATTATTTTTGCAATCAGATCTGGAAAATGCCATGGAGCCAAACCAACGACAATGACAATAGAAACATTTTCTCAATAACCAAAAAAATGGAGATCATTTTAAATTTGCAAGAAGCAATAAAATCAATTTAATTTTCTCAGATACTGTTTAGTTTTTCATTTTTATAGGAACTGTACAAATTCCCAAGAAGCACCCACAAATACAGTTCTCTTATATTAGACATGCACACAAATGCATACATAAATACATATATCTATAATCATATCTATAGTGGGTAATTGAATGACAAAATGGAAAATACAGCTATATTACATGTTTCATCCTTCAAAAGGACTTCTTCAGATTCATAATGATTTATAAATATAGGTGAGGGAAGAAATACAACAAATGATGGTTACAATTTTACAGCAAGAAACACTGAAAATACAGGGATGTTCAGCTTTAAATTTAAATTTTTAAATTTTTTATTATCCAATATATCTCAACACATAACTCAGCCAACTTCATTCAACATTATATCACATTTATATCTTTTATTTTTATCACTATTATTTTTTATATCTATAATATCTGATTCATACACCTCCCTGGTCTTCTGAACAGGAGTAGAGGTTTATCTCCTGTTTCCTGTTTGGATTGTGTTTCTGTTTCTTTCTAAAGTTTTTTCCTTCTAATTCAACTCCAGTAGCCCCTTGCATCTTGGTGGCATTTTGCCATTCTTGGGTTGAATTGATTAAAAGAAAAATAATGATGATATTAGCCATTACCATATAAGGAAATATTTGGTATTCATTGACCGAGCAGTCAGTGCTGCTGTCAGTTGCCATTCATAAAATTTTTCTCTTAAAAAACTTTTTCAGGATCTGTCTATATTTCTGAGATGAGGTATTATATACATTATTTACATTATTCGAACTATTGTCCTCATCTTTATCGCCATATTTATTTATTATTCAGAGGGAAATTAACAGGAGATAACTGATAACTGACATCCATTAAACATGGCATGTGGAACTAGAATCCTGAAAACATAAAAATCTATATAGGTTGAACAAGCCATGAGTTCAAAAAGCGGTTCAATCAACACTAAACTTCATTTAGGATAAATAAATACAGAAATCAGACATCGCTTTCAAAGTATTTCTGGCACTTAAAAGAATCAAATAAAACACCTACAGTAAAATGGAAATTAATAAGAAAAGCTAGAATATGTAGGTCATTAAATGACCCATGTCTTTGTGCATACATGAGAAACTATATATTACTAAGTTTATAAAAAATAAAAATTTACTGAATCAGAGAAATGAAATAGCTATTTTGTTGCTGTCATTGTCAAAAATTTTCCTTAAATAATATTTAAAAATAAAATAAAAAAATGGGAGCTGGTAATATACATACTTATATTTGATATGAAAAAATAATTTTAAATAATTTAAGTAATTCTATTACATTTACTTGATTTAAAAAGAAATATAGTCTATTAGTAATTAAGAGTAAAACTATTTTAAAATTGTAGTTAAATAAAATGTATTCTAACACAAACACACCTAAAAACAATCTTTATGTATACAAGTAAGAAAAAAATGCCGAAAAACTCAGACGACATGCAATAAATGGATGTCAGAATTCGTTGAATAATACACCCCTACCCTCCCTAAACTTAACCTCATTTTTGAACGTAACTCATAATTGATACAACAATAGTTAATAAAAATGAACACGCTACTGCCCCTGTCTGAATGATTGGATTTCTCTGTATCCTTGGAAACAGTAAATTATGAATTTATATGTGCGTTTAAAACTCAGTAAATTTAAAAATAAGTTATTCCAATATTCACTTGAAGATGAAACGGAACTAATGCTTTTAATTTAATTTATATAATTAAATTTAAAGTTTTTAGCTTCCATTTTTGAAACATGGTTATTACTATGTAGTGAAAAAAACATATTTTCAATTAGTTAATTTGTAATATTTATGCTCTGTAAATTTACATTGAGCACTGTTTTGTAGAAATAAAAATAAAAAATATCAATAAGAACACCAGATTATATATCTTACTGTTCTTTATATATATATATATATATATATATATATATATATATATATATAGTTATCTACTTGTTTCTGTGTACACTTGTCTGTTGGTTAGCTAATCCCTGTTGCAGGCATCCACTCATGCACATTTTATGTTTCTTCAACACTAATAGAGCAAACAGGTGGTTTATATGTCAACTATGCTGAGAAGATCTTAGATACAGTGTTTGGCAAAGAGCATATAATCTGGCATCACCAGCAGTTGAACAAGTCAAAGAGTACTTTCAAACCCTCAGTCATGAAGACTTGTGGCTTCATACTTAAATGGCCATCAAGCGGCTTCCAAATATTTTTGTCAACCCAATTTCACTCACAAGGCTTCTGAAAACACATGGTATGCTTTTCAGGTACTTTCCAATGATGCCACAACCTGGAATTATCTAAAGTTTATGGTAGACACTGTTAAATGTACACTTGGTCTTCCTTGAGTCATAGTTTGTGTTGCCACAGATCTTGGCTCAGTAATGTGACAATAAACAGCAGCAAAGGTTGGATGACTCAGTTGCCATTGGTCTGTAAATGCAATCTGTTACAGCCACAAGCCCTGCGTCCATTACCATTCATGCAGCTGTATGAAGAAAGTCATATCTGCCTGCTCATGATATGAATATCCTGCCATTGTTAAATGGAACACTTCTCAGTTAAATCACTACTACACATGTTAAACGTTGAAGACAGACTAGCGACAAATGTACACAAATGACTAATGTAGCCTAGTCTATGTGGTAACGCAGCACCATCTACTGTAAACTTTTGTTAAACTTAATAACTCAAAAAGGAAGGATTTGTAGACATACATTTATATGGACTTTTCTCCTTGTTTTGGGGGTGAGGAATCTGTCACCAAAGTTTGTAAAAGTATTTTTGATACACCCTGATATAGTATAACCTGGCAGCAATTGTTCTAAACAAAAAAAACAAAAAACTAGTCATTCTATGTCTGTTGAATATATACATTGTCTATTCCAAATGGCAAATGTAATTGATGTTTAATTTGATAGACAACAATATAATTAGCCAATTTTAATAAGTATTTGTTTTATGATCCTTACTTTTTTTATTCATTTCACCTCAAGTAAAGTAATAAAGCCACTAAGATGTAAGGTCTTACTGAGTGTGAAAGAATAAAAGAAAAAAATGAAAAACATTATTAAAGGGAGAATACAATGAAAGAACAGGAATCAAATTTGACTGGAAATAAAGAGGCTGGAAGATAGTTCCACAAGCATGAGATAAGAAACTCGTAGCATAGAACCTACAGTTTCATCTAGCCATTTCACCTGTAAAATGATGAGACCTAGCTGCCAATCTAGTACTGCAATAAAATTCATAAAGTTGAGATCTCAAAGAGGAAAGCTCATCAGAACTATTACATAAAAATATTTATAAAAAAGGAACAGGGAAGCTATATTACAACAGTGGGAAAGTAATTGAAGCCGAGATACCATGTATATGCCACATTTGGAGCAAGCTCGGATAATTAGGGGGAAACTGATAAAACTTATATTTTTTCTATTTAATAAGTGGTATGGGTCACCTGGTTTATGAATTTTAATATTAACATATATGTAAACAGGAAGATATTCTTCTGTAACTTATTGAAGTTTATGTCTTTGTTATTCAAAGATATAATTTTTATATCTTAACATTTTTTTAATTGAGGGTCTGTGTTTTTCTTAAGTTTTGTAAATTTAGCACTGACTTTGAGGATATATCGTAGTTTTTTCATATTCATTCTTATTTAATATAACAAAAGTATTAGATTTATTTGCTTTCCTAATTATGAGGTTTTTCTGAATTTGTTTATTGTTGTTTATCAAATGAGACTTCACTTACATTCACTGTTTTAAAAAGATGATGGATAAATCTGATAAACTTAAAATGTCTAGCCTTTTTTATATATATATATATATATATATATATATATATATATATATATATATACTATCCGAGGTACCTGGCATTGCCCAGGTGTACATAGCTGCAATTGTATAACTGCATCCTACTGTATACCGACACACCCCTGTCTAGAAATGTCTGCCGCTTGCATGTTGGTATACTAAGCTACTCCCCACTCATCCTTTTTACAGTATGTCCTTTGCAAGTGTTTGAGTGTTTTTA